GCCCCGTCACCGTCAGCGATGTCCAGCAGCTGGTGCGGCGCAAGGACGAGGTCGAGGCGCAGATCAAGGCGTGCTACGAGCTGCTGGAGGGGGTCGGTGCCCGGGCAGGGCCGGGCCGGGCCGGGGGGCGCCGTGCGGGCCCGGCCCCCTCCCAACCGCCGCCTCTCCCCTCGCAGCAAAAGGGCGTCGGGATGCACGAGCCGCTGGTGGACGCCGAGGGCTTCCCCCGCTCGGACATCGACCTGTACCAAGTGCGCACCGCCCGGCACAACATCATCTGTGAGCGGGGAACGGGGGCCGGGGACCGGGCGGGGGGCTCGTCCCGGGGCCGCGCCCCCGTCCCGCGGGATGAGCCAGGAAACCGGGACGAGCGGGGCAAAGGCTGTGCCCGGGGACCGGCGCCGCGCAGCTCCCTGAAAGCCCGTCTCGCTCGTTGCTCGGAACCGGGGCCCAGCGCTGCGCTGAGCCTGCTCCCCAGGGCTTCTGCTCAGTGCTCCGAGCTGCCGCCTGGGCTGAGTCAGTAAAATGCTTTTGTCCACGTGTTGCTGAAATTCTGCCACTGCTGCCGAGCCATTTGGGATCTGTGAAGCACCACAAGGTTTTTCTGTGCTGTTTGTAGAATAAAATTTGGGTAGGAAATAGCTTGGCATTTATTTCATCTCAGGCTTTTCCAGTGCCCTGACTTTCAGGATGGGTACGTATGTAACAGCAGGTGACTTAATGGAAAGAAGATTTAAGCTGCTCACCGAGTTCTAGGGGATCATGGGCCTCCCAGCCCTTCTGCCTTCGCATGTTTACCAAAATTCTCGTAGGGTGGTTTTCTCTGTGTCAGACTTTTACTGATAAACATCTGCCGGGCTGGCACCAGGCCCCAGCAGATAGAGCAGAGGTTCTTGCTGAGATCAGAGACAGCCAAGGCACTGCTGTGTGGCTGACACCCCTTTGGGGGACGCCTTTCCACTCCCTGTGTGCTCATGGTGTCACCCACAGGTTTGCAGAACGATCACAAGGCCCTGATGAAGCAGGTGGAGGAAGCTCTGCACAAGCTGCACGCCCGGGAGAAGGAGAAACACGCCAAGGATGAGGCGGAGGCCTTGGCCGAGGCCATGAGCCAGAAGCAGAGCCTGCCCCAGGCCTTTGCCAAAGTGAACACCGTGACCCCGGGCTCTCCTGCCAGTGTCTCAGTATGTTGGGCACAGCTCGTGGGGAAGGCTTTGTCTGGAGCCAGACAGCTCATGGCTCCCTCCCCCATACGTGGGAATAAGCTGGGGGCTTGATTAGGGTGTCACCCCCTTTTTTTATTCGTGTTGGGATGTCCTGTGAAGGGGTTGGTCGCTGTACGGGGATGAGATGGGTGTTCTCTGAGCTGTATCCTGGCACCACACAGTTCCTTCCAGGCCTCACTGACCATTCCAGCCTCAGTATTTCTCTTCCCATGAAACAGAACAGAGGAATGAACACTTGCCTCTCCCTGTGGCTGTAGTGATGTTCACTTGCCCGAGTGTGAGAAGTGTTGTAGCACATCTCTCTCCCTGTGGCTGGGTGAAGGGTGGTGCTCCTGTGATATCACCTGTCTTTAGAGAATGCAGATGCTCATCTATCTCTGTCCAGGGACTTCAAGTTGATGACGAGATTGTGGAGTTTGGATCTGTCAATGCAAACAACTTCCAGAACCTGCAGAACATTGCCACGGTGGTGCAGCACAGCGAGGGGGTGAGCTCATTCCTGCTGTGACTGCATTCTCTTGCCTGTCTCTGTTAGCCACAGCTTTTTCTATGGAATTTGAATCTCTGGAATCATCATTTCCATGTCAGAAACGGTGTCAGATTCAGTCTGTGCAGTTGTTGTCTTGTTCTTTCCCAGCACTATTTGCTCATGAATGGAAGAGCTGAGAGGTGTGTGCTCTTTGTTCTCCCCGGGGACTCCCTGCAGCAGCTTTGCTGTGCCACCCTCGTGGCCTGGCCAGAGAAGCTGCCACAACCATTAAGTGCTTGGTGGTGGAACTGGGGGATCTCCTGGAGATGACCTCACACAAAGCACTCTCTTCTTTCAGTTATAGCCACAGGAGTGGGAATGGGCACTGCTGCAGAACAGTTCCTCGGGCTTAATGTTCTTCATGTGCTTCAGGCAAAAGGAGGAAGAGAGTTGACTTTGTGATGGAAAAGTGAAATATTTTGGTTATTTTTCTATTTTTGCCTCTCTTTCAGAGACCCCTGAGTGTGACTGTGATCCGTGGTGGCAGAAGGGTGCACGTGGGGCTGACTCCAAAGCGCTGGTCTGGGAAGGGCCTCCTGGGGTGAGCTACTGTTTCATTGCTGGAGGGAAGAGGCTTTCACCAGCTCAGGGCATGTTTCCTGAGCAGGGCCAGCCCTGGCTGTGTCACTGCCCACTGTGACAGACCTCACAGGTGGGCACCAGGGAGCTGGATTTGCTGGTTCTGCACAGGGATACAGGGAGTCAAGTTTCATCAAACATGAGCCCAGGCAGAAAGGTCTCAGTGGCTGGTTTGTCTGGTAGAGGAAACCAGTGGAAGAGGGTTGTGGAGGGTCTGAGCCATCCCACGTCAGGTCTTCTGTGCCTGTTTGAGAAATGAAAATTTAATATTTCCTCCTACCCTCTTCTTTTTCAGCTGCAATATCGTTCCTTTACAAAGATGACCGTGGCTGGGAGAACAATAAAGCTGAAGCTTGTGCCTGTTTTCTGGACTCTGATCTGGTTTGAAAACTTCCTACGTGGTGTTGCTGTGACCTCTGGTGCCTGAAGGGTTCTGGCAGAGTTCTGCAGTTCAGAATTGCACTGGTTGTCAGGAGGAACCTGCAGAGCTGCAAGATGTGGCTTCTCATCTCTTCCACCTTGTATCAGTTTAGAATAAGGCTGTAGAGAGACCCAAATCTCACTTGATACACACTCTGAAGAGCTTGAAATGCTCTTTTTTGGTGATAACAGAGCATTCCTTTTTTCTCCCCTTTAAAACTCCTTGCTAAATATCATGTAATATATGCTAAAAAGTCCTAGAATACTTCTTGATCCAAAAAGGCAAGAGATATGCAAGTTTTGATACTTCATCTTCCCCCTGTTGCCAACTTTTAAAGTCAGTGAACATACTGAAAGAATTTTTGGAATGCCCAGTTATTTTAACACAATGAGGTAAGAAATAGGGGTTATAAGTCTACTTTTGGAACTTCTAGTAGTTTATGTAGTCATGATAAAAGCACTCCTAATCTAGTTTCTCTCTCTATTTTCTTTTTGATTTTAAAAAAAAATTGTTTATTTGCAGGAGTTGATTTTGGGGTGTTTTTCTGGTTCAGGGCAGGGTTTACAAAATTCTTGTGCCTCCCCTTCTCCTCCCCATCCTGCTGCAGGAGCAGTGGGGGGAGTGGGTGAGTGGCACATGGTCTGGGTGTTTTCAGTGGGAACAGTAAATTGGGGAATACCATTCCTAAACCACCACAGGTGCATAAATTGTTGAAAGGGATTCCAGGAATGACTGGTTTGTTTAAAGCATATTTCCAGTTGAACTTCAAAATAGTTTCCCAAAACAATAAAACTGAGTATTGCTTCTCTCTGTTCTCATTGAAGTCATTATTTGGGGCAGCCTCTCTGGGTCAGGGAGATAATAGGAGCTGATAACAAATCTCCTTTCTGCTCCCAGCAGGGTGTGAGGCTCTTTCTGGGCAGAAAGAAAAACAAATTAAGTTTAGAAATTGTTATTATTTGAGCTTAACAGCAAGCCTGAGGTCAACAGCTGGGAGTGTTTGGAGCTGATTATGTGCAGGGGTGAAGTGAGAACCTCGAGTGGGTTCCCTGTGCAAGTGCCATGGGAGAGAGCTGGGGACCGTGGGGGACTGGCAGGGCTTGGGGGATGATTTTTCTCCCTTTG